CATATGAATATGGAGTAGTATTTTATGTTATTTTGAAAATATTTAGATAATAAATAAATATAATAATCTGAATATTTATTTTTTAAGAAAAATAAGATGATAGCTATTTTGAATATATGTTTTTGAAAAAAGAACTTAATATTTTTAACATTACGTGAAAAGTATTTATAATATTCAACATTTTTATTAATTTTTTAAATTAATTTAGAAAATAATGTAATTATCAAACACATTAAACAAATTAAATATTACAAATTTTATTATTTTTTATTAACATACATCCTGAGAATTGTAATAATATTAATTATTAAAATATCACAAATTTATAAAAATGTCACAATTTTTTTTATTAACATACATACAAAAATGCAAAAGAAAAAAACTTTTGAGATTTTTTAGGGTAAACTATATTTGTGACGATTTAGTTATGAGAAGATTTTATTATGATCAACGATATTATTATTTTATAAATTAAATTATTTAATTATTCTAATAATATCAATTAAGTCATCTGTCATAGTAAAAGAAGTGACCTAATATGACCGTTAACAAAATTAATATAAATATATATTTGTTTCTCATTATTTATACATTCTATCAATTTGATATTAATTTTAATTCTAATTAATAAATTTAATCATTTAGATAGAAATAAAGGGCACACACGTACCACAATCTGATAATTTTTTAAAATTTAATATTTTTTCAATAAGATAATAAGGGAAGTTTTGTCGTACGACAACTTTAATATACGGCTAAGGAAAAATGCTACCAAAAATGTTATTATTTTTTAAACATTTATGGTAAAAAATTATCTAAAACATTATCTTTTTTTACATAAAACATTAATGGTTTTTAACATTTCTGGTAAAGTGCCCAATATTAACATTTTCGATAGAAAAAAAATAATATTTTAGATAATGTTTTACCGGATATGTTAACAAACCTGATAAAATACACAATAATAATATTTTCGATAAAAAATAATATATTAAGTAATTTTTTATCGAAAATATTAAAAAAATAATAATGTATAACTTATCTGTATATTAGACTACTAGGATGAGACGTTACCAAGATAATAATGTATAACTTATCTTTTTATAACCACGAACAACATTCAAATTGACGTCATTAAATGAAGAAAATATCTGTTTTCTGGAAACCATAGAAAAATATGAAAAGCAAATCATGCTTAATAAATGACAATTAATCTTTAAATTAAAAATAATTACGTCATTTAAATTTACAATGACGTAATAAAAATGACGTCATTTACGTGTCAACTTTAGCTTCATCACGTATCAATCGTAAGCATCTTTCAACCCCCCCCCCCCCCTTAATGAAGTTTCGGTTTTTTCCAGTGTTCCCATTTCCCCTTAAAATAATCTGTTCCCGGTTTCCATATATATACCATAAAGCAGCACACCACACCTTAAATCATCTTCATCAATGGAAGAACTTCAAACTCAATTCTTGGCTCAAACCTCAGGTCTCAACAACAAGGGAATGGGAAAGAAGAGGGCTCGTCGTTCATCGGCTAAGGTTGAGAGGAAGATCATTGAGAAGAACAGGCGAAACCAGATGAAGAATTTGCAGTCCAAGCTCTATTCTCTTATCCCCCGTCGTGATTCCAAGGTTTTTTTTTTGGGGGGGGGGTTGAATTTTGTTCTGAATATTGATCTGAATGTGGGTTTTGTTTTGCAGGAGCTATTGTCGCTTCCTGAACAAATAGATGAAGCTGTGAACTACATAAAGAGCTTGAAGACGAGGTTGAATGAGCACAAGGAGAAAAAGGAAGGGCTAATAGGAAGAAAGAGATATTATAAAGGCGCAAATGATACTAACACTACTGCAATTGAAACCACTATAAACTTGAAATCTCCTGAGCTCAAGATTAACGAATTTGGCTCTGCCATGGAGGTTGTTTTGACGACCGGGACAGACAGCCAGTTCATGTTTTATGACATGATTTACATACTAAATCAACATGGAGCCGAAGTACTAAACGCCAGCTTCTCCGCCGTTGGGAATACAGTTTTCCATGTTGTTCATGCTGAGGTAAATTAATTAGCCAATCGCTCTCCTATCTCCGATTTTGGTATCACATTCATATGTGTTTCTTCATCTAATTGAATTGTTTGGTGACAGGTTGGAGCATTTGTTGCAGCAGAAATAATAAAGAAAAAGGTGAACAAATTAGTGCATGGATCCGGCTACGTAGACGACCAACTGCAACAAGAGTTATGGAGCTTCGAAGTCCATCCCGAAATGTGGGATTTGAACTACGAAATCTATCCTGAAACGTGGGATTTCCCAATCATGTGATAATCGTAATGAACAAAAGGGGTGTAGCAGTGAATTAGACAGCAAGGAAGAGCGGACTTAATGATTTTTGCTAGAACTGTATAGCTATCTAGCTTGGCTGCCTGCTGCTGGCTGCTGCTGCTTCATCAAAATTTTGTTCATGACTGAATAATAATATAGATCATGAATGATGAATCCCTACAATGGATACCAATCATGCCATGATATTGTCTTTTGTTTTCTTGGTCACTTGATGTAGTATTGATTAATGGAGCCTTTCCAAGTTCTTGTGTATGTTTTTTTGAATTTTTTTTTTGGTAATGGAAAACTAGATTTTGATTGATTTCTGTTGAAACTTTATTTTGAGTCTCTATTATTAAGTAATGTAATTGTACAAGGTCTCAGCATATAAGTGAATTCAGGGAACTAACTCTAGCTGTTCTTGTTTCTTCATCTGTTTTTATTCCTTGTTTCTATTGCTTAAATCTTTCTGGTTGTAGTTCATCGTCGATGCTCATCATGTTTATCGCCGACCGTCGTCATAGTATCATTCGTCGACGGTCCTGAAGCCATTGTTCTTCCACTGCTGTCATTCAGATCTGGTTCTTAGTTCATTTGTAAGTTATCTATAGGTGTATGTTTCAACTTGCGGTTGGTCAATCAGTCAGCCAAAGTTACGCTCGTTGATTGATAACATGTTGCAAGAGTGTGCTTTCCTCCTGGCTACTCTCAACAGCGAATCCTCGTCTTCTTACACATTTTGTATGAGCTGAGACGTCTCGGATATTTGGAAGACAGTGTTGAAGTTTTCTGCAGAACGTACGACGACGACAATCGTGAATTTGTATTACAAGCTTCGATCATTAAGGAAAGGTGATCTAAGCATGTGCTGTTACATCTCTTCAATGGAGGAGATATGTGATTCTCTCCCTGCATCCACGTTTTTATTTGCACTTTTGTTGACACATGCAATGGATAGTTTAAGTTAGTAGTTATGAGCTGGCTTTGGAGTAGTATATGTTCAGATGTTATCAAGAAAGTCCATGATTTTTCTAGCACTTCTACTTATTCTAATCATACTTCAAGAACTGTTATTGTGAATTCTTGTGATCTACCATCTTCTCTAGTGTTCTTTAATATTAATTTTGTAACGATTCGAATTTTATATTCAATGTATGAGAGTTGATTAGGAATGATTTTGGGCTGGGATAAGAATCATAATTGGACCCTTGAGACAGGTTTGGTCTGATTATTTTTGCATGGGATTCAAATGTTGAGGGATCAAAAGGGTAATTTACCCATTGAGAAAAATCAAGCTGATTTCCCTCTTGATTTGGTGAGGTCATCGTGCTCTATATGAGGAAGGATGAAACTTTTCCTACCAACTCTTTTCTCCCTACATTTCTCTTGTGTCTTTCTCCCTTCCCTTTGAACCAAACACTTGTCTAGGCATTTGTGATTAGTGGTTAGAATATCAACTCAAGAAAGGTAACAAACATTACATTTAGTTCAAGTGCTTCAAATTAAAATGAGTTCCATATCACTGATTTTGAAGGAAAGAGCTCAAGAGAGGTGTTATAGGGGTGTAGGCTTCATGGCTAGGCTAAGAGAGTTTTAGAACATTTCCATATCTCTAAATTCATTCTTAGCATATATCTTATCATTTGGAATAATTAGATTTCTATTTGGATGTTATTGAGTAACAAAAGAACAATGAGAGCCCTTTAGACCTTGTGACAAAAGTAAAAGATTGGTGGAAGTTGAGCAAAAGTTTTCTTTGGTGATTTTGAGTAAAGATAGAGTATCTTTAGTCTCTTGTAGTATCATGACTATCATAAAAATAATTCCTTGTGGTAGAATGTAACTTTAAAGCTTGTTTTGTTTATTGTACATGTCGTGGCTTAAAATGTTTAATTTAGTGTTTAACATAAGATATTTAAGTGTTAAATGATCGTACATGACCCCTTTGAACTTTAGAAATTTACATTTGACATTAATAGTATCATGCAAAGGAGATTTAGGGGTGATTTTCAAGCATTAGAAGTCATTTTTAGGCTTGGGTATCAATAATGTTCATACAATATCGATACTGGTTGAATGAGTGTAGGAATCAAGGCAACATCAATACCAAGGAGGAGTTTTTAGGTTAAGAGCTTGATAATTTAGGATACGAGTGTGGATGCTCAATTGAGCTTATTATGAGATAATAGTCTAAGAGATATTGAAGGTTCCCTTAAAAGAGTAAAGACTTTAGAATCTCCTTATCATACTAAGCGATAACCTTCAGTTTACCATAGTGCTAGACTCAGATATTTGGGCTTAGGGCCCAATAAATTACCTTCGCGGTGTAAGGATATAGTTATTGATCTTAGTGACATGAGTATGATAGACATTGACCTTAGTGACGTTAGCAAAAATGCTTGTGTGGCCTTAGTGACGATTACTAAATTATACATACTCAATATATTGAATCGTAGTCACAGTGGAACTCCAATACTATATCTATGCGATATGCGATTTTATTGACGAAAGAGAAAATAATACGGATACCCAATATTATATTTATGTGACCTTAGCGGCAATGTTTTTTTTTTGGATAATTCAGAATTTTATTACCCAAATATCAAGGTTTAGTTACAAACAACAACCAATCAATAATACAAAGACAGCTTAATTACACAACCAAAGATTGACTAGACTATACCCCGAGCTTTACAAAGAAAGAAGTTAGTATTATCAAGTCGATTTATGGTCTTGCCCCTAAGACGAATTGCAACTACATCAACAATATCTTTAAGAATAACATCAACAGATCGGTAACGGCCCTGAAATAATCTGTGGTTCCGTTCTTGCCACAAGAAATATATGAAATCATTCCAAGATATCTTCAAAATGGTAGTTAAGAGGGACTTTCCTTTCCAAGAGGAACAAGCACGAGCTACCATTTCATCCCATGTCAAAGCAGAAAAGTTCATCCCATTCATGATAATGATAGATTTCCATATACCAGCAGCCAAGGAGCAATTAGAGAAAAGATGATCTCTCGTTTCTTGATGGGAGTTGCAGTTTATACAAAGACCATCCGTGCTAATTCCCATTTTTTGTAAACGATCTCTTGTAGGTAGTCGATTCAAAATGGTCATCCAAGCAATCAAGCTATGCTTTGGAATATGCAATGGATACCATATTAGATGCTGCCAAATAACCTTTTGCGCTTGCATCTGAATGTTCTCACAGATTTCCTTTGTACGCATGAAACCAGAAGCGATTAAAGGGAAAGCAGTAGTTCTCAATTTTAAAATTCTTTTGATAATTACACATTTGTAAATTATTATGATCTTAGTAGCACGATCTATATGGATATTCTGAAATCACTTGTATATTTACATTCGATGCTAGACAAGATCGAGAGATGATACGACGATGATATATATTATTGTGCTATTCAGTATTGATGATAATAAAAAGTGAAAAAATAAATATTATTTATAATATAAACTCACATGTATTATTTTAAAAAGTTATGTTTAACACATGTTTATATGAAAATATATTTCATTTTCTAAATTTATTTAATAATAATTAAATAATAGGGTGAGGGTTTTTGTAGTAATTAAAGTCCATACATTAGATGGCAGACAAATATAGCTATTTCTCAGTCGAAGTATTTATTCTGAAATTAAGTACGATCAAGATCTTCATGAGTGTCTTCAATATAGGCTAACTAGAAATAATTAGAATACTTAATTTAGGCCAACTTTCTAGCAGCCAGAAACGTGCATCCCCAAACAAACGTTAAGCTAAGCGTAAAACAAGTTGAAATCACACATATAAAGCATGGCTGAACACAATTTGTTATCAAAAGCTAACATTGAAATCGTTTTCTTCTTCTTCATTTTCCGGAACCTCTTTTCCATTTTTTCTCTGATGAGTAATCACCTTTCTTGTGCTATCCTTGTCTTCTTTCTGACCTTATCGGCGGTGTCATCATCTTCCCATGCCGCCATTAATTGGGGTGGAGCAATGTTTCCAAGCATGGTCCGCTATCGAAGTCTTGGTGCAACCCAAACATGTGACGGCCTCCCCGGTGAGTGCCATGGAAACATGGATGAATCCTTTTCAGATGAAACTGCTCGATCGTTAGCCGGAAAAAGATACATTAGCTACCGGGCCTTAAGGCAGAATGCAGTTCCGTGCAACCAAGGTGGGCGATCCTACTATAACTGTGGTGCTTCTGGAGCGGTTAATTCTTACACAAGAGGGTGCAGTGTCATAACCCTCTGCGCTCGGATCACCGATTAAATGATGCAATTCTATTCTACGCTCATAAAATTTCCCATACACTTGTTCTTCATTGTCACGTTTGTAGGCCAAGATTTCCTTCGTTTGATTCATTTATCACTTGTTTCTTCTTCGTCTTCTTCTTCTTCAATATTGGTAGATATAGGTATGCGCTGAGATTTTGTTTTGGACTAGACATGTTACCATTATTATTTTTTAAGTTGTTTATTTAATTAATTATATTTTTTCAGACTGTTCGAAAAGTAAAATGTAATTACATAAAAATGTAATTACTCCTAGTGATTACCGTCTTGTGTAATTACTAGGAATTTTAATTATCTAGACATGTTTGATAAGCATTATGCAATTACATCTTAATTTCTTATGTGATTTTTTGTTGTACAAATTGTAATTATACGATTATATAAGTTTAAATTTTAAATAATATTAATTATTATAAAAAATATTTTTAAATCCTAAAAATATTTTATAAATAATTATTCTGGTTTAATGAACTCTCCCATATGTTACCCTGTTTTATTTATGGTGTAAGATTATTCTGAAACCTGAATTCAGTTGCCGACCAGTCTTTTGCTAAATCAATACTAGGGTAAACTATACTTATGACCACTTAATTATTATTCCTTTTCATTTTGATCATCTATCTTTCAATTTTATCAATCAGACTATGTAACTATTTAAGTGTTGCATTCAAACCATTGGCCGTTAACATTTAACGGAAAAGATCATGTAGCTGTTAAAAAATTGTATAATTACACTTTTAAACCTCGATATTTATATATTCTATTAATTTGATCCTAATTATAATTTAATTTAAAAAATAACCCTCTAAACATAAAATTGGGACCAAATTATACCAATATTTTTAACATCCATGTCATCTCCTCTATCAAATCTTAACGGTTGGTGGCTTAATTGGAAACACGTAAATAGTTAAGTGATTTAGATTGCAAAAATTAAAAGATCAATGAGAAAAATGAAAGGGACAATAGTTAAGTGACCATAGGTATAGTTTACCCTTAATATTTTGTTTTAACTCAACAACCCCCTTTTTGTCCGTTCCCTATCATTTTTCTAGCAGCTGGATATTCTTTATTACGATAAACTACTATTATGTTATTCACATCCTCTCACGCTTGTGTTTCTATTTTTTTAATGAAATTATAATTAATTATTTCAAACTTAATACTAAAATAATATTTTAAAAAGGTTTAATGTTAAACTATAATAATATATATTTTAGCTTAAAATTATGAAATTAAATTTATGATCATTGTTTAAGATTGAGTATGAATTACTCCAAGTTAATAAATGTGCAAATAAAGAATCTATCCTTTATTTTATTTTTTAATCGATTCAAGTCTTTAAGTTTTGAGTTTTGAAGTTAATATAAGAGTTAATTGCATCATTTGTCCTTAAACTATGATCCTCATTTCAAATTGAGCCTTAAAGTTTTGAACATTCTAATTTCATCCTTAAACTATGCTTTCATTTTAAATTAGTCCCCAAACTTTTGAACATACCAAATTCATCCCCAAGCTATAACCCTCATTCTATATTGATCCCTAAACTTTTAAATATTCTAATTTCAACTTTGAAGTTTTGAATGATTTAGGGGGATATTATTGGCATGTACAAAGTTTGGGAACAAATTTAGAATGTGTCATAGTTTAGGGATGAAATTAAAATGTTCAAAAGTTTAGTGATCCGTTTGGAATAAGTCATAGTTTAGAGATGTATGTAGCGATTAACTCTTAATATAATATTAAACTTTTCCTTTGACATTCTTATAAGTGACAGATTTCAATAAAACTTTGTTAATTTTAAGCTAAAATAACAATATTTTAGTCATAAAAAAATTATATTTTGAACTTCAAACTTAAAAAAAAGACTAACCTTTGAATAAAAAGTTAGAACAAAGATTAAAATATATGATCCGTGACTACTTCAATTAATTTGATTGGTTAACCGATTAAATCTATTTAGAAAAAAATATAATGATAATATTATTCATTGTAGTAGTAGTCATTTTGTTTTTTAAAGCATTTTAGTTCATAATATTTTAATTTTTTTCGAAACATATGTTTATTAAATGAAAACTGTTAGTTAATAAACGATCAATATATGTTGTTGATGTGATATTTTTATATGTGTTTAATTATTGATGTGACATGTGTCACATCGATAATTAAACTATGTAAAAATATCATGTTAACAACATGTTTTGAACAATATGTTTTGATCGTTAATCAATTAACAGTTTGAATTCAACATGATATACTTTTACAAAAACTAAAACATTAAAGATTAAAATACTTAAACAATAAGAAGTAAATTAATTATTTATACAAACGTTAAAAGATAAATTTATTATCAGTGACAGGAACCAAAAGATACGTGTATGAAAAAAATATAAATGCAATAAATAAATAGTAGTAATGAATTGCAGGTGAATATTTTAATTTTTAATATATGATGCGGACCAACATTTGTCTAAATTAATAAATTTTGACCCAACAATCCCCTTTTTGTCCGTTACGTAGCCTTTTTCTAGCTAGGGAATTCTGTTTTATGATAAACTCTTCATATATTTTTCACATGCTCCCAGCAAATATTTATCATCAATGAAACACTTTTTTTAAGTTTATAATATTAAAAAGATATAAAAATATCACAAGTCATAATATATATAAATTAAAAATCATAAAATTAAGTGAAATAAAATGATTCAAATAAACTACAACATAATATTTAAGGTAAAACATATTAAATAATAAATATAATTATATAACTATAATCAAAAAAATAAAATTAGGACTTCAAAAATCATTACAAATGATGTTATTTGGTTTAATTTTTTAAAAAAAATAATCCCACATGGCTAAGAAACATAGAAGAGCATCCCAAAAGTTTAAAGAGTAAATATGAGAACTAAACAATCTCACATGACTAAGAAACATATAAGAGCATCCCAACTTACTTCTATAAATAATAGAGGTAATTTGACATTCAAAATCATGGAGCCTTTTGGTGAGCACATAGCAAACTATTTTTTCGCTTCAATTGAGCTCAAATTTTAGGCTTCAATCGAATTTCTAATTTTTTTTTTTGAGTTCGAGCCTTTTCGAGTTCAAGTTTTAATATTATATTTCGAGTTTGAGTTGAACTTGATAATTTTTACCTCGTGAGTTTTTGAGTCGATTTGAGCTTATTTTTACAGTTTTCGAGTTCGAGTCGAGCTCAGCAATACTCGAATTTAACTTGGCTCGTTGAACAAACGACGTCGTTTGATTTAATTTTTTTAAAAAAGAAAAAAAGTGAACCAGCGGTTCAAACCGGTTTTGCTGATTTTCAACCGGTTCACCCCGATTTTAACGGTTTTTCAGCCGATTCTACCGATTTTCAGCCGATTCATTACTAGACCGGTTTTGTGAGGTAACCGGATCGGACATGCCATCGGTTCACGGTTCAACCGGTTGAACCAGCCGGTCCGATCCGGTTTTGATAATCATGTTTATTATAGTTTTAATGGTAAAAAGTATTTAAATTAAAAAAAATAATATATTTTTAATTTCATTTGATATTTAATATAATTTTTAAATTAAAAAAGTTATTTTGAATATTTGAATCGAAAACTGTTATTGATCATTATGATGCTAATATAATAGTTCAATATATTGACATAAGATTTCACGAAGTTGATATGACAGATTACAGTCCACAATGATGATATTGCGGTCCACGATTCTAACATGACAAATCATAGTATTAATGAACGATGTGGTAGTCTACGGTCATAGATAAACCAAGAGAGGAGCGGGTGGGGATGGTTGTCTCATTTAAAATTTTTAAATTCTCTTATATTTTAGATTTATTCTTTGTATGTTCTATTAATAATATATTTTTGCTCTCCTAAAATTTTATAAGTTCGTCATCCCTTAAAATTTTATAATTTTATTTACTCTAACATCAAATAATGTGTTTGTCATTGTCTACAGTGGAGAATGACGTGGTAAATAGACATACAAAATCTATCCCTTAAAATTTTATAATTTTATTTACTCTAACATCAAATAATGTGTTTGTCATTGTCTACAGTGGAGAATGACGTGGTAGATAGACATACAAAATCTTTTAAAAGTTTGAGGACTTATTTAATTAAAAATATAAAAAATTAATTATTTAAATATTTAAAATATAATAAATTATTAAAATATTTAAAATTAAATAATAAATTAAAATCTATTAAAAATTCCAAAATTAAAAAAATCAAAAGCTATAATATGATAAATTACAAATTATTAAAAATAATTTACAAATAGAAAAATTAAGTTAGGAAGATTGTCTCATAAAAAGCCTTTATAATATTCAATCTGAATTTTACAATCAATAGATTGAAAACTAGCGGTTATACTAAAAAAATATTAAAAAAATATAAATCTATTGCTATTTTATTGAATATATTTTAATTAAAAAATATAATAATATTATTTATATATTTTTAATACTTTATATATATAGGCACAATGACCATGTAATTTTTCATCTAGTCACACACATATCATTTAGGTCATAACGAAAGAAAAAATATATTCAATCGAGAGTTTTTATACAGTCAATATTTTAACAATCCAACAGATAAATTTTATGTTCTATTCATGTAGATTATACTATCAAGTTTTAAGAAAATTAAAAATATCTAACTATTTATTTTAGAGTAAAGTACACAAATGGT